AAGCGGATTCGGCGACATGCTCGAACTGGGCATTATCAGACCGTCAAACAGTCCTTGGGCATCGCCATTGCACATGGTTCCCAAAAAGGATAGCAACGACTGGCGTCCAACTGGTGATTACCGAAGGCTTAACGCCAAAACAACTCCGGACTGCTACCCGATACCTCACGTTTACGATTTGACTGCAACCCTGTGCAGAAAGAACTTTTTCTCCAAAATCGATTTGGACAAAGCGTACAATCAGACACCTATGGCGGTGGGAGATATCGCGAAAACAGCCATTATTATTTCTTTTGGTTCGTTTGAATTCCTGCGCATGCCATTTGGTCTTCGGTATGCAGCACAAACGTTCCAACGCTTTATGGATGATGTCTTCCGTGGTTTAAATTTTGTTAACGTCTACATCGATGACTGTCTCATTGCGGGTCCAGATAGGGAAACTCACCTTCAACATTTGGACCTTGCATCCGAAAGACTAAAAAAGGTGGCATCACGGTCGACTTGTAGAAGTATGAAATAGGAGTTGAATCACTCAGCTTCCTTGGGCATGCAATTGACAACAGAGGCATACGCCCATTGAGAGATAAAGTGGCGGCTATCGTGAACTAGCCAGAGCCGACCACTGTGAAACAGCTCCTCACCTTCAACGGCCTGGTGAGTTATTACCGAAGGTTTATTCCCGACTGTGCCTCTGTCATGAGACCACTAACAGATCTACTTCGAGGAACTACGAAGTTCGTGACTCTGGACAACGTAGCTAGACTTGCCTTCTCTAAAGTCAAGGAAGCCATTTCGAACGCAACCATGCTTATGCATCATGACCCCAATGCTCCACTGAGTATTGCTGTTGATGCATCTGACTCAGCAATTGGAGCAGTTTTGCAACAGTTGACCGACAAGCAGTGGCAACCTTCAGCCTTTTTCTCTAGGTGGCTGCAAGACGCAGGGACAAGATATAGTACATTCGGTAGGGATCACCTAGCCATGTGCTGTTCAGTACGCCATTTTCGACACTCAGTTTAAGGTTGTGACTTCATTATTTTCACAGACCACAAACTGTTAACGTTTTCCCTCAGCTCGGCATCTGACAAATACTCCCCTCGTAAGTCACGACAACTGGATTACGCCTCCCAGGTCAAGTCAGATATCCGCCACATTTCTGAAGCAATAACTCCGTAGCCGATGCACTACCTCGAATAGCTTCGATAAGTCATATCGAGGGCGTTGATCTCGCTGAACTTGCTGGGTGTCGAAATAAAGACCTTGAGCTGAACCATGGGCGTCGTCCACAACTTTCAAGCCACAACTGTGTCCAGCAGAATATAACAAGGATACAATTTCGTGCGATGTTTCCGCCAGTCGACCACGCCTAATAGTTCCGAAGAGATGTCGACGGAGCGTCTTCAATATGTTGCATGAGCTGTCTCGTACGAGCGTACGAGCCACCATTAGGCTTATTGCACAACGTTTCTACTGGCCCAAAATGAACAGAGACGTTGAGGTGTGGGCTAAGTCGTGCCTAGCTTGTCAGAAGTGCAGAGTCACGAGACACACAAAGAGCCCCTTAGGTTCTTTTCTAGCCCCAGACATGCGTTTCGACCACGTCCATATAGATATTTTAGGACCTCTACCAGAATCTAATGGATGTGCTTATCTTTTCACCTGCGTGGATCGTTCCATGAGATGGCCGGAAGCAGTACCTATTAAGGATATTTCTGCCGAATCAGCAGCTCGTGTTTTCGTCGAAAGATGGATCGCGAACTTCGGATGCACATCTTACGTCACAACCGATCGTGGGCGCCAATTTGAATATGGATTATTCCACGCTCTAACTGCACTTTTAGGTTGCTCTCGGTTCCGAGCAACAGCCTACCATCCACAAGCAAATGGCGTGGTAGAGCGTTTCCATCGACAGCTGAGAGCTTCCCTTTCAGCTGCAAACATGCCTCGGTCGACCGAGGCTCTGCCTCTAGTCCTACCAGGCATTCGTAACGCCGTGAAAGTTGATGCTGGATATACCCCTGCAGAACTCGTCTATGGGACCACTCTTCGCCTACCAGGTGAGTTTGTTTCTCCTTCAACCTTCAAACGTGTTTCCGACAAGGCATCTTACGTGACCGGGCTTGCAAACGCAATGCGTTCAGTTAGACCTTCTCCAGTTAGACCTCAAACGACTGATGTTTTCGTTCACCCCAGTTTACAAAAGACACCACACGTGTTCATTCGTCACGACGCCGTTCGTCGACCACTTGAACCACCTTACGATGGGCCGTTCAAAGTGGTCAAGCGATATGAGAAATTCTATATAATCGGACAAGACGGATGTGAACATACTGTTGATGTCGACCGTTTGAAACCGGCTTATTTCGAAGGCAACCCCATTATAAGTGACGTTTCAGCTCGCTATAGCCGACCGACGGGTAGCCCAACTATCAAAATTCTTGACGATGTGCCTGGTAATGCACAGCTGCAACAACCATCGGCACAACAGAAAACACGATTAGCTCGAACCACCAAGTCCCCGGAGTATCTGAAGTCGTATTAAACTTAGCGGTGTGCATGCCAGCCATACTTGTTTTACTCACAAAATTTTTTAGAGGCACTATTTTCTTATTTACCAGCAATGCACAAATCTTCATAGACTTTGCCTTTTTATACCAATTTTTATTACCATGTATTGAAACTTTAAAAAAGGACGGTGAAAATAAGCGTGAATTTTTATTTTTCGATATGTTTATATATAAATAATTCCCATGTTTACGAAACGTTTTCGTGGTATTAAAGACTTTTATTTATATCCCAGGTTCAACGAGCACTGGACGGAAGGTCAAAATGAACTGAGGACCGCAACCAACGTCCAATTCGATTCACTGTATTTTATTATTTAATTGCCAAGACACCCTAGAATAAGCTCAGACAACCAGGGGCCACTTCACGCAGAGAGCCCATCGGAAGAGTTTTACCAGGGGAGAAACCACTGGGTTTTTACATCCGGATGGTATCGTCTTAGGGTCCTCACGAACCCACTAAGGGGGAGTGATCTGTAGCGTCACACACTTCCCCAAAATGAGTAGCCTAGGGTTTGACGACTTTCGACATTGATGCTGACCTTGATAGTTTAACTGGACTCGCCAAGCTGAAGGCACCCAGTCAAGCATCCTCGCCATTTGGCACGCTGTCGTGTTACGTTGCACTGCTCGTACTCGACTCTCTAGCCAGTTAGTTGGAACGCATCGGTATTTTGACATAACCATCCAAATGTACTATTCCATCCGACTACGCTATCGTGTTCTTCCTTGGTCTCGTACTCGTGGGTATATAAAAGTCCGAATAATAAGTGATTGGTCTTTGCGCCTGTCGAGTTCGCACTAGGACAAATCCCAAAGCAGTTGTCTGGAAAGTTCTGATTTTCCACAGGACACTATTATGAGCTACTCTGAAAGTATCTTGGTAAACATGACTCGGACTAGAGTATGGTGTAGTTCTTGGTTTAAGTGGACTAAGTGACACATTCGCTTGGTTGTTTGAATGGCGTTCATTTAAATTGCATAACAAAATATGGGTGTAACGGCCCTGTATCGTTTGTTGGTTATCGTTTATTATTGAACGTAAGTACGTCTTCTGTACTAGTTGAGTCACCAATCCACGCTTTTCTCTTTCTCATTTCCCTTCCAGATTCTCACCACTAAACTCACGTCCCCCACTTGCAACAACGTACCAGCTATTTACAGGCTAAACGAGACCGTATCAACAGCTGGTCGTTACAATGGGTTCACCTGAATTTAAGGAGTTATCTGAAACAACTGCAGACAGCTCCAGTCACTTACAGGTGCAAATTGTGGACTCATTTTTGAACGGGGATATATCTGATACGGGGGAGGATATAACTACGGAAACAATCTCCAAGGGGAAACTGAAACATGAGATGCGAATGTTGCAGACGCGCTTTATTAACAATGCAACAGTACTGCAGAATAACAAAAGCTTTTCCAAGGCGCGTGAGGAAGAGCTTTTAGTAAGTCTCGTTTGCACTCGTAGTCTTACTGGTAGGTTTTTGATATTTACTTGGAATATATTTTGGGCAGAAAAGTGTTTTTTCCGGTGCACAAAGCCAAATTGACATTTCTCGTGTGAATAGACTCTAGCATCTGCATGAAATGTCCCCAGCCTTCACTGTGTCTGGGCGCAGTTCGGAAACTTCTGACATCATGCCAAGCATACTTTGCGCGCACTCACGAGCGTCATGTAAGACTGCCAAATATTTCGTTGGCTTCTGATAAGAGTAGAGTGTAAGAGTTTCCAAGTACTCTGATGCATTCTGTTGCATAAAGGAATGCTGCATTGGGGAATTTTCCAAAATATGGTGTTGCAAGTGGAGGTGAAGTCCTCATAAACTTTGCGCTAACTGTCGAGTCTTTGGGAAGTTTGGGACTTTTAACAATTTCGGGGGTGGACTTCGGAATTTTCGCGTATATTTTTGTTGGTTGATGTGATAGAAATGCAGTCCAACATTGTGACTTAGTTACTAGCCGTGGACCTACCTTTATTTCATAAAACGTATATGTGAACCTGAGCAGTATATTTGACTCAAAACATTATGGGGTAAATATTACTTGGTCATAGTTTGCTAAGCGGAATAAAGAATCTAAGATTGTGTTATCCTTTGTCGTTTTGCTCACGTGCTTGTCTGAGATAACTAATAACAGCGAATTGTGCATACAAGTGGTCTAATTTTCTTTATAGTTAGTGATTGGACAAACTTAAGCATAGATGCCTAGTTGGATTTGTATGCTGGTTTGAACGATGTATGCAAATCGACCTTGTGACTTGTCCCACTAGTGTGTTTATCTGTGAATGAGTTTGAGCACTTATTGTTCGGGTCAGTAGGATCAGTTACTTGTGGTCAACTTGTTCTGAATTGCTCTAATGGATCACACATTTGGTGTCAACTACGATTTTTGTGAAAATGTTTAAATGAGATTAGATGTTTCAGAGAGAGTTCATCCCGCCCACAAACTTTACATCATGGTTATGGAAACGTCTGTACAGTCCTCAAATCTGTAAGTATTTTAATGTCTGATCGTTTAAACAAGGACTCTCGTTTCGTCGTATTTGGGAGTTGCTAGTTGGGTGTTCGTATATTATATATATTTATAAATGATTTTAATAAGTGGCGACGGTGTTCAGTAAACGGCTTTTCATTTCGCTTTTAGATGAAACTTTATTTTGGTGAAGATTCATGCTTGTTTTGCCCATTTGATATAGCTTATTGTGATACAGTAAACGTTCCCGTATGAAGTTGTGAGTAAATTATATTACTCATATTCATCCAGTCATACAGTAAACAATACTTTATCACCGATCTCCAAACGATTAAGTAACCACAATATGAGCCTATACTTCACCACAGTACATAGTCTTGACTTCTTTGTATCAGTAGTTTGATTATTATTATTATTAGTCTTAGCTTGATCATCAGTGTTTCAAAACGTCTAACATACTCACAATTAGTAGATGCCAGATTTCACCTTCGGAGCGTTATAATTTCATAGTCAAAAGTTTATTTATGATAGTCTACCTTTTACCTCTGGGTTAGTAGGTGGGCGAAAGTTGAAGATTTATCCTCAATCGGTGCAACTATCATCATGTTAATGGTGATGGACAACCTCTGTTTAGACTTCTTAAGTCACCGAACTTTACAGCAGTTACACTTAAATAGTCAGAGATCCGAAGGATGCGTTGTGACACCTTGAAAGTATCTTCGTGGTTGTCCATGCGCCTGTTTCACCTTGTGCTTTTCCAAACATCCATCTAGCTTGCATCTGTTCACATATTTAGAAGGTAATGTTGCACTGCTGTTGCTGATTCGATGACTAACTTTTGTGATGGAACACCGCAGGTTTTATTTCGTTAGGCAGGTTATTTGTAGCCTCAAGGACTGAAGTATTGCACTCATTATCAAACATTTTTACAGATATCCTTATTGCTAATTCATGGCACCACACTGTATTTATTTCTCAAATAAACAGAGGAAAACGAAAGGAATTAATTATTAGCTACATAATCTGGTAGGGTGATAGTGGGTGATTACAATCTTTTGAAACTTGTTTTGATGAAAATGCATCTGCTCATGGTTAATAACCATTTATATCTCCTTTGTACTGATTGAATGCTATGCAATAAAACCCTCAGCTTATTTATTTCTAGCCAGATCAGTTTCAAAACCTTTCTCCGAATGCTTCTCAGTTTCATATTGCTAAAAAGTATTTCTTTTCCTTGTTGTTCGAATTTAATAACTGTCTTGTTTCATGTGTGTTTTGTTATCAGCACCGACTTTGGGTAAGTAACCAGTCAGTATGGTTCTCAGTACATCATTGTATTAGACTAGTAGAGGCGGATAATAACACAACAAGCTACTTGCACATCTTTCAATATTTTCAGCGATAAGAAAGACATATGCCTGCTCATAAACTATATATTTACAAGCAAAAGCTGTTTGTTAGAACTAAGATAAAAAGGTATTCAATAAACCTACTGCAGAAATATTTTGTTATTATTTTACGGACATTTATTAAGATGGAACTTTTGATCTTTCCACAAACGTATATTCAAACTACTGGACGACTCTGTTATCTGAACACGACTTTAGTCTTAAGAGGTCTCGTTTAGTGTATTCTGTTAGATAATATGGGAATGTTGTAACTGTTTATATACAGGAGGTCTATCTATCTAAGACCATGATACTTTCAAACCCTTACAATCTGCGGGCTATTTTAGACAGCATATTTGAATAATGATATTGAAAATAGTAGGCAGGCGATTGAAAGTTTTTTCCAGCTTTACGTATATAGATCGAAGTTACGGACAGAGTCAATAAAAGCAGAAGTCTTTATGAATTAGTAGACCGACAATCAAATTCCCATTCAACGATGCTAAATGACTTCCTTTTCAGAGATCATGAATGTATATACATAACATTATGCATTATGTGACCATTGATATTATTTTCAGTTGAAATCATCGTTTACAAGTAACAGCTCTATCTCATTAGGTAGCATGAGCTACGATCCAACTAATTATTAGTCTTCTTCATCAGTACTCAGTATGAGTTCTAACGATAGCTTCAGTTTGGGTGCGAGCTATCGATAATTCCTTCCCATGAATACATACCACGCGGGTACACCAAGTTATACTGCACAAACCAAACAATATTCGATCAGCTACCCAACAGTCTATTTCATCATAACATATATTAACCGGTTGGTAGACGAAAATCGGTCTCGCTTTCTTCGTTAATCCCATCTCAGGCGCCTGGGACACATCAAGTCAAAGTATTAGATTAACAAGTATACAAGGTATCTTTTCCTATTGCAATACAAATAAATTTATTTGCTTAGATAGTCTTCACAACCAAACAAGGATGCCTTGGTTCACTAGGAACGCTTAAGGATTCAACAAGAAAGGATTGATATTTTTAGGGAGAAACAAGATCGCGAGTCAATTTCAATATTTCATCCAGTTGTTATAAATGAGTTTCGACACATGCAACAGTTATTTATTTGATTCTTAGCGAATACCAATAGAAATACATTCATTTTTAGTGTCACAGGAGCTGATTATCGTATTATTTCGGCACTAATTGTTGACTATTTTTCTGTTTCATCTATTCGTATTATCCCTTCTACTTTAGTTTTCTCCCATTTATCTTTGTTGTTTTATTGTTAAGTATTGTGATAACCTGGTTTGATAAATTTCTGTGTTGATTTTTATGCTCTGATATTTATGTAGCAAGTTGCGGATTTCATTATGAACAGCAGTTTTTTAGTGTCTGAATGCCGCCCATGTCTATTAGAAGGTGACCGTGTTTTTTCGTCTCCACACTTGTCTAATATTGCCTACTGCATTTTGCGATTCACATCCATGAGGGTGATAGAAAACAATCGATAGCACACCATCATTTTTCGGCGGTTTTACTATTACCTGAGTTTTGTGTTTTTCCGAACAGGCCTTCCGATGTGTGTTTGGTCATCATAGTGGCTCTACAAAACGACCAGCTTCTAGCGCCTTGTCCAATAAAAAGTAAGCCTTATGCGGTATCGAACTGTCAAAATATCTTCCCCAAAACTTGGACAATCCTAACAACTTTTAATCAACGAAGACACTCTAGGATGAAGGAAAACGCATTATAACCTTTAATACTGTGTAACTTTAAAAACATCTGGGTGTGAATACTAAACGAAGTCTTTTATAAGCATAGTAACTTGTGGTATGAGGTGAGGTGTGAGGTCTATATTTTGTGTTGGAGAGTGGTAAAATGTGATATGTTTTTCTCTGAGTTGCGAATTTTGAAGTCAAGTTTTAATCGTTTGCTCAATCTCTGGTATGATTTTCGTATAGATGATGGGGGTGTTAAAGATATTGAGTTATGCAAATTAAGAAAACAGTGATAAGCGGTGTAGAATCTTATAAGCCGGGTTTGATTACAAATGTCTCTGATAGCAGTGTGGTATTCATTTCAGTCTTTGACTAAAACAGCCGAAGTACCTCTTTACGTGTATTGTCCAATAAACTATCACTTTGCATTTGAAATATGTTCTCACCACAGTAAGACCATCATGCGAAGAAGTGGAGGAAGCAATTTAACTAATTCACTCCCGAAAAAGTGTTAGTGACCTAGTTTTTAAGCGTGTCCGCTTGAAAGATCATAAGTAAAGAGGGAAATGTCGCAGCAGATAATTTTCATTACTAAGTCGATTTACATCTCCAAGTTAAATGAAAGGTTCTACTTAGGCAATTATGCAAATTTCATATTGAAAAGTTTTATTTTTGTTTTTTTATACCTAAATGATCACATGTCTACCATAGCCGCCAAAAGCTTTGCGTCGTACTGGATTGCTGGATGGGTAGTAGTCGAATTCAGTTCAGTTTCGACGCTGATTCGAAGGTTTGGCACCTATAGGGAAAGTTACTTATGTTGATCTGCATTTTGGGATGCTATAGTGAACGAAATGGCACCACTCAATCACTGAGAAGTGAAACGTTGCAGTAGGTGCATAATTTATGCCATACTGAATAGTCAGAATCTCAACCATTTGGGTTTCCTGTTGAAAATTAAGGGGCTTGACGTTAGGATCATCATGTAATGATTCTGGTATATTTTTAGGAGGTAAGATTCAGCTGACACATAAGGCGTTTATTGTAGGTTGCATGATAGCGAAGAATTTGCCTGAAGATTGGGGGAATAATATCTGCGAAATCGTGAAATATTCTCTTTCAATGTAATATATAGGATGCTACTACCATTGCTAATCTTTTTCTTTTGATTTCTTATGAATTTATTTATAAATTTTGGTGGGTAATTATTGAGACGTGGGATATGTTAATATGTCTAATTTCTGCTGTGTTACCATACAACGAAGGCACCTCAGTAGTATTACAAAGAATTCTCAATAAAGTTGGGATGAAAGTGGCATTTAAACCAACAAACTCACTTAGAAACAAGCTTCTTAGGTTAAATGATCCTATTGATGCAATTCAGCAAAATAATCTGGCTTACCAGATCCCTTGCAATGATTGCGGGGTCAAGTATATAGGTCAAAGTAGTCAATAGAGTCGATTAGAATAGCAGAGAACAAAAACTTAGCTAAATCAAGATTAGTACATCCTAATAAGATAAGAAATGTGGAGAAAAGCTCGGCTATAGCTCTGCATGCGATGATACACAATCAGTCACACAGTACGGTGGGATAGGGCGACAGTGTTGAAAACTAACTTAGTTGGGTTGAGGATAGAGATGATAACCGAATCTTTGTTTATCAAGTCAACAACAAATACATGCAATCAAAATGATTCTGCACCTGTCCCAGATATGTAGGAAAGTCTACTACCCTTATCATCATAGAGAAGGAGAGAAAATTAGGAATATATAAAGTCTGTTCGAAGTTGTGGAGTTACCTGATAGGAATATGAACAATAAATTGTGTCCGAAACATTATCCAGTAAATGCTACTGTGTGATATTTCTAATAAACAGACTGAAATGGAATTACAATCAACCATAGTACCCAAGTTTTCCTCTTATATTATGGCAAATTTTCTGTTATTAAGAGGAGGTCTTAATAATAATAATACTCAGTTTGGAATTATGAGCATAAATTATGGCAATAGCAACAAAATATGTGTATATACTCCTTTGAAACATTTCCAGTTGTGTTATTATGAAGATGTAAGTAATGTAAAGAATTAGTGTTATTGCGCACCCTGGATTCCATTGCTAACCACTATCCATCTTTACTATAATGTAAGGAATATTAAAAACGAGAACAGTTTACACAGTTAGTTAGTTATTGAAATGACATTGTTAACGGTTACAAAGTTTAATGTGAGTTATATTTTAACACTTTTTCCTCACGCATATTATGCGTGCTAGGTAAGGTACAGTCGAATTCTTGTTCTTGGCTGTATAAGCATACAGTCTTATGCAGTTTCTTCTTCCGATTTATATTAAAGAGTCCGACGTTGGTATAGTGTTAAATGTTCAGTAAATTTGGCACTTTTACAGAAAGTATGCGCTCTAATGGATCTACCAGACTTTAGGAAGGCCTTGACATGCCTGACGTAATTAAACTTGAAAGTAAGCAAGTGGTGTCACTTGATGTCTCTATTAGTCTTAAAACATGACATTCGACTAAAGGAATAATGCATGCGTGTTAGCATAAGTCTTTCAAGTGATGTACTGGGATATGGTCAGGAATATTATACACAAAGGCATTAAGACAATTTTTTGGTGACTCCTGCAAACAGCTGGATCAAGAGTTCACGTTTATGTCCGTTCTCGGAGCTACTATAAGTATTTCTATCCCATACACATGCTAATGGAGCGAATTTTGATAGGCTGGTATTATTATATGTGCAAGCACTCTGAAATGACAGTATGTCACTTTCGATACTAATTGTGTCACTAAGTAATTCTGATATTAAGTTGGACACACAACCAAAACAAGTATGCCTTTTAAAAGTCATTTAGAATCAAGCAACACCCTGTCACTTGGCTAACTGGCATACATCCCCCAACTGCAAAGAAACATCCTTACGTTTAGCCATTTTATCAGTTATTTTATTCAAACTTCACAATAATAATAGCAAGACAGTTTTTGTTGTACTGGGAATTGTGCGGTAACACAAGGAGACGGGATAGTAATGTATTTCCGAGTCAAAATGAAGCTAATTTTACAGGTGTGCGTATATGTTTTATACAATCATCAATTAAAATTAACAGCATCAATAAGTTCAAACAGGATACAACGAAGTTTTATATACGTTTGAGTCACTATAGATGAAATGAAAACCTGTTGAAGCTTTATATCAGAAAGTTATATTACGGAGATTTTGGCAAAGATAAAAATGGAATTCACACTAGAATCTATCAACATCACGCCAGACTGAATAAGCTTACTCAAAAGTTTGATGACGAGCACATCTGAAGATATGCTGATATAGAGAAGTCAAAAAATTTATCAAGAGAGCGCAGGCGAAAAACAATTTTAGTTTATCATTATACTCCTAAAGTTCAGTAAAAGCC